GGAACTAATTTGGAACCCTCCAACACATCGATTCAAGATTTTGGCACCCACACTAGCCGACAAGAGCCATTAATTGACACTCAACACTGATTTAGTCTGAAGAGAACTTACTGATTTGTTCCCCGTCTGTCTGATAACCTGGCCAATTTTGTGACCTATTCACTTGGCCTGATGAAGCTTTTGTGTCAAAAGCGAAACGTTGCCCAAATAAAAACTACCGATTGTTTACCAAGCTCTTCTGAAATAAAAACCTAGAATTTTATTTCGCTTAATTGACGTTGTATTACAGACAACTAACATGTGATTTGATCGTAATACCTCATTGATCAATAAGGCGATATGACAGCACAATATGCCTGTTTCGAAATCTCCGCGGCGTTGTCTAAGCCGCACACGAGCACGGCCATGTGACTTTCTGACCCATAGTTATGCGCATATTTTTGAAGTGGTCACCGTCTCTGTTCTTCCCATTGGCATCAAATTACATATGAGCTAAGTAGAGACAATGATGATTTCAGTGTTCCTGGGGGTCACCGCATTTTGTGAGACTATTGCAAAACACAGAGCTTAGTTTCAGTATCCACATGTCGATTTCCATCAAACGCACGTTAAAATCCCTTGTTAGTATATATTTCTATTCAATTTCTTCGCGCACAAGTCTGGCAAATCGGACGGTGAATCAAGGCTGCAGGATCAGCCTCCTCCCGTCGAACAAAAAGACGTCAGAGAACAGCGATTGGCCGAAATGAAACGCTCGGAACTCCGTTCCCGATCACCCGCAACAAATACAACCTCCACTGTTCCCGCTGAAATCAGATTTCGAAGGTTAGCGCCCCTCTATTCTTCGTCCACTCCACTGTCGAATCGTCCCTGAGTGCATGACGATCAAGTTGTCTAGTTCATCCTCGTCTTGGTGGCGTTGTGATGTGTCTCTTCCTCATGTCTGCTGTACACACGCTGTTGTCCACTTGGACAAATTCTACTCGTTGTGGTTATCTTGTTGTGACAAAATGTAGTAAAACTATGCTTGTATGTATTATACTACTTGTTGTACTGGGTCAGTTAATATATGCCTTTTGTTTATGTACTTGTGTTGCTAGGTGACTCTTTTGTGACTGAACAATACAAAAGCATCCACGGCCATATCTATACTAGTGAAAAACCAGTGTCCTTTCCGTATCCAGGTGGTAACCACGCCTGACATAGAGTGGCAGTCACACAAAAGGCTCACCGATGATACCGGTAGACAGCTACTGCTAGTTCACCAGGTGGAGGTGGGTCAATCGTTGTGGAACTCATGTCTACGTTTGCACCATATGTAGCAGCCGTGCTTACTGATTTGATTAAGTGGACCTCGGTCGTTTTACACCCATTCAAAAAATCTTTTGCATTACGTATTCGTATCCCACGTAACACACCCTCCTCTGCCCCCGTGAATTTGCGGTCTTCTTTGATCACACGTCTCTACGGTTGAAAACCAAAAGTTTCCATGGCAAGGTTCACAGCAACTGGTAGAGGATTTGCAAAACTGAGAATCAAGAACACCTGTTTTGGAGAAATGCGGTGTAAACTTCGCGTGAAACAGTAAGGCAACAGAAATCGGGCAACTTAAGTGTTGCCCTGCCAACGAATCAGTATAATGTCAGAGCACATATACGCCATCATACCGTCAACTAGGATTACGTCATGTACGTGATTCCAGTCTATGCTGAAAGGCCAATAAGCACTGTACACTCGTTTTATCTTTGGCGGGAACCATCAGCAATGCACATCTCAGGAAACTGCGAGGAGCCTGGAACACCTAAAAACGATTTCGATCGAGGAGACATTCAGTACGTAACCACGTGATGCGATTTCCCTGAGTGAAGAATGTGTGACGTTTTATCCCATCTAAGCCGGAGTTAAGCCGGACTAAACGGTTGCGTTCAAACTATTCTCCAGGAAGTCACGGTTTCGAATCTACCTGGAATTTCGCAAGATGCTGACGAGTCTCGATAACGATAAAGGCGCTATGCAGTGCTTCTCAGCTTTCCAGCAGAGGTTGGCTTCACTGACAGGAGATATCAACTGACGATTACCGGTTCTGCTCACATTACCATTATTCGTAGTGTCACGGACACTTGTCTACCAATGCCACGAGTGTACTACTGAATTTAGCTCAAACGGTTTTTGATGGGCACTAAACAACACCGAAATTCAGTTGACAAGTCATAACAGTTTCGCGGGAAATGGACATTCCAAATTCAAACAATAAAGTACCATTTAGGCTGAATTCTCCGCAGAACAAATTTACATAGGTTGTTTTCACAAGGGCTACTAACTCTTTTAAAATTCCCAACGTCAAAACAATAGCCGGGTCTTCTAGATAAGCGCGAAGAGATAAAAGAATTTTCTTCTGGAATAGGTCCATTAAACCATGGCTTGTGATGATGTTATGCTCGGCAATCCTTAACGCGCTTTGACGAAGGCGCTGCTCTTGCGTTATTGTTACTCAATCGACCCGGGGTTGTGAGAGTGTCATTTTTTGACTGCAGACTGCATTTCCGAGCCGACAACTTGAAAACCGCTAGTCTAATGTCGTTCTGAACTGTTTGAGATACAAAAGTTCATTATTATCCGTTGTGGTCTCTACTACACAAAAGGGATTTTAGTTCCGCCGCCCACCAATGGCTCTGATGCGGAGGCCCTCAAATACCACATTGGGAAACATCGGACTGCGTAGAAAATTTGGTGTTTTCCTTCTGTTTAGCCACAATCTGGCCATTGGTCGAATAATTTTCGCACAAATAAAAGCTAGTCGGTATAGTGACTAAGAAAATGGGAGTAATTCGATTATGGCAAAATTTTGTCATATACAGCCCCTTCCAGCTCATGTAGCAGCATAAGACTGAAACCATAACGCGGTATTAAGTGATGCATCGATGGATCGATTGGTGTTCACTCCCGCGATGCGTTTTACACAGACCAAGCGCTGCATTTTAACTCGTCTGGAAAGTTTAGGCACACAACCCCACACCCACGTACACTGAAAGCTATCGAATCCCGTTGTGACGGCATCTCAAGGTCGTAAAGGTTGATAACCTTGTCCCAGCCGCACTGACTAATGACGTACTTCCATATCCTTTGGCTGTTTTACGTGCCAGTTACCAACACATTTGAACAACTTAATCCCTAGTGTTATATCTGCTGTTTCGTCGATCTGTGGTATCTGCTGCTGACCCGCTCCAGTGCCTAGTGTCGGAGAGAAAAGACTCACAGAAGGGAACGCAACAGCTGTATTCCGAACAAGCGAGTGAGTGAGAGAGCAACAGTTACAACGGCGCCACGCTAATTAAAGGGGACTTTCTGACATTGATCCAGGCTGTCTGATAGGCGTTAGTGAACACCCATCAACATCGATCGTGCCTCTATGAAATGCCTGAACCCTGATCACATTCGGTCGTGCTTCTGTGGCGCAGAGAACACTCATCAGGTCTTACTGATTGAATGATTGACTGGCCTGGATGCTTGCCGGCTTTCCAGTTGAGCTTTTGGTGGAGCAGTAGGTTCCGGGCGTTCAGAAGTTGACTTCAGGAATCTGATCTTCCTGATACCTATAATTGAGCAGTTTGTTGATAATTTGTGATCAACATGTGCGTGTTGTGTATGGTAATGTGGCTGACATTCTGTCCCAATGACAACCGTGTTTGCCAAAGCAAACGTTGGTCAGACAACGCAGTTGAAGCACGAAGTTACTGTCAGTACAAACACTCGTGACGCGTTGGTGTTTCACGCATAACCCATTTCAACGGCTGTGATAAATAGACAATATCACGGGTATTAATATGCTCGTAAAAGATGCGTGAGAGCTCGAAATAGGTCCAACGGGTCTTTAATTCGAATTCATCCCCGGCAATTCAACTAGCAACGTCCAGGATTGGGTAACCTGGCGGTTTTACAGCCCTCGTGCTTCCTTCGGGTGGCACGACAGGTGGAGAATGAGAGTCATTACAGCAGTCTTCGTCAAGCGTTGCCCATACATTTCATGATCAAGGGCATATTCTAGGTTTGGTGGTGTTGAGTACACTTGGTAAACGAATGACACAAACTTATACTGACGAGATGGTCTTGGTAGTTTCTCTGCATCTTTTTATATTTTGGCTTTTTCTGAAATTAACTCGATCTGAACGAGTTCCGACCAAAACTTACGTGGGCGATTCCGTTTTGGTGTCTTCGGGAAGACCCCACGCAACTTCGTCAGTTTATTTTCCAAGTGTGTCTGATTATAATCCACCACCGTTAGTCCATATGAGTAGGCTAACTACACTAATCTTTGGGCTTTAAAGTCTAAAACTGAATTCATAATTTTTCAGGCTTATGTATGTACGCAACCTTGTACGATTGTTGACTGTTCGGCGAGATGGCCGAAGTGGTTAGAGCGCAAATTTACTGACCTCTGCCGCTCGACTTCCCCTGTCTAGGCTTGGGCAACTGGCAGTATCTCAGCCCACGTGCTTCCTTCGGATGGCATGGCAGCTAGGCACCGAAAGGGTGCTACGGGTGAACGCTTTGACCTGTTCAGTAATCCCAAGGAATAATGTGGACGGTGCCTATCTACCTTTGCCGTTCAAAACTTCATTTATGGGGTGTTCACACGCGACGAATCCTTTCATTTTCCTCAAAACGTCAACTACATTGTTTTCAAAGCTTAGGCCGGTACTCTCTCCGGGAGTTAGTCTAGGCCAAAAGCTGGCGAAACTCTACGAACTTTGTCGCCTATATGCTGTTTTTCCTACATAATAATGTATCAGTTCCTTCAGCCACCGTTTCCGAAATCGGTAGGCTGAAGGATTCTACGTCCACTAGGATAGTATCGAATAAGCTACACTAATGTACGCGGACCGAAACTGTCTATATGCAAAATTAAGTGGCCCGAAAATAGCATGATTCCTCAAATTTCCACGATGATTGCAGCCTAATCCAGCGCACCGTCCCCAACTTGAAATGCAAGAAGTATCCGTCGGCCTCAATATCGGGGATGATGGTGTGTCTGAGCGTTGCAATCGATTAACATCCCACTTGGTCACTTCGCCATCTGAACATTCATGAAAAATGACTGGACATCTGAAGCACGAGAAAACAAACAGTTGCCCATTTGGATCAAATGATGACTCTGTTGCAGAAAGGTCAGATGACTGTCACACGCTCCAAGAACATGCCTTGTTGTGCCACCGTTCTGCCACAAGTAGGGATGCGGAATAGGCATTTGTACATGCATCCAAATAGCAGTGCCAATGGGAGGGGGGCAGAGTAATACTCGTAACAAAACATGTCACTGGGATCTAAGTAAGGCACCGCATCCTGATTGTTAGGTTCAAATAGTAGACAACATTTTAGCTGTGCGCATGAACTCCGTCAAATCATCAAAACGCCATCAAATATCCGAGTGACGATCACTCTTCTGAGCGTCAGAGTTTATTAGTGCATGACCATAAGACAGATCAGAAGGTATATGCACTAATAAAAGTTTTAGTATAGTTGACAGTGGTGGGTTGTAACACGTAAAAAGATAAGTGTAATGCGAAATGGGAGCAAATCAAAAGAGGAACTTATCGTCTGTGAGAGTTCCTTGATGAAAGTCCGGACGGCGGGGACGTGTTTCCTCTGCAATATGACTGCTACACGTGTCCCATAGTTGTCCGTGGACGGACTTGTGGAGAGTGGTCAACTTCCTGCTCCCTGCGCGCGCGTGAGTCTGTGTGTACTAACTGTGTTCGGTTGCCCTATATGTAGGTCCGTTGGCGTGTACGTGGGCGCTACGCTCACTAGACGGTACAGACAATCGATGTCCGATGAGTCACCTTAATGTGACGTGGTTTGTGAGTATGAAAAAAAACAAGTCTCGTGATCCAGAGAGCGACTGTTAGCTGGACAGTCAAGTATGTCGGGTGACCGGGTAGCTACAAGTTTTCTTCATAAATCGTAGAATTTGTTCCACTGCAACACGTGAGGTGAATTTCTCAACAAAACGTTCCCAAAATGTGACATCATACCATAGACCATTGATCGCTAGTTCAATTTCCACAAAGCTGAAATGAAAGAATATGGTGTCTCAGGTGAACTGGGTGATACTGCATTTGTGATCGGTGGATTTATTTCAGTGCCCTGAGTACCTAGTCGTAAAAATGTGATAATTAAAATTCCCCGTTTGTCCCCAAATTTCATAGAAGACCTCTTGATCCCAGGCGGCCGACTGATGCTGAATTCATCTAGTTAACTTTGTGTTCATTCCATCCAACCGTAAATAAATTCTCCTTCCCCTCAGCTTCTGTATGGAACAAATTAAAAACTTAGAAATCGATAGAGAAGTGACAAAAATTAGCTTAAGTACTGAAACCGAACAACGATCACAGGCAGATCGATTCTCGCAACGTTTAGTGATCGGAATTGCACAGGTTGTCTACTGGCACTAGAGGATAAGATAAGTAACCTTCCTCAGGTTCTTCTGTGGGAATACTTTCCGTGTTGGTTGTTGATCAGGTGGCTGTTGATCTGTTTGCCGAGCTTGGCAATTGGCTTGCAAACGTTCCGTCAACATACAAGGAGGTATCAACAGTGCGCAGTTGGATGGATATTTCTTACATGCCTGTGTGCGTTTATATAGGATTCGCAGGGTATCGGTTATAGTCTGACGTGATTGGCTACTTGAAGTGCAACAAATTTAGTGAATCTATTGGTCCGTTTGTGATGTTTGTTGCGTTGTGGTCTGCGTTCCTTTGTGTTGATTGGTTGTCCCAGCGCCTTCTAATTTTAGTAGCTTGTTCTCTCTGGCCAGACTGATGGCAAGATAATCCGCAGCACAGAATCTTGTAATAAGCTGATTCCATATATCGTGTGTGCAAATTTTCGACTCAGTGGCCTGATTACCTAACCTCGGACGAGGCAAAGTTTTCTCGATATCGTTCACATCCGTATTGAACTCTGTCACAAAGCAGTGATAAGAACAAGCCAGTAAGCGAAAACATACAACTGCACGCGATACGGGACCCTTGATTCCTTACACGCGACACACGTTTACCTGTAACTCGCTTCGGAACACATTAGGTAGACGGACATTACTTATGTATTGTGAGTAGTGGAGCTGTGCCAAAGTTCTTAGTGCTAATCAGTTCAGCACATACGGAAAATTTACCACGTATTGTACAACTGCTCATCTTTTCGTTAGAAATTATCATCATCCACATCCAACAAATTCCGGAAGGACTCGAGCTCGAAACCTTTCGGATAGTAGCCGAACAAGCACTGGCTAACAGGTAGTGTCGGATTCTGAATTGAAATCACGCATTCTGTGTCGTGAATCATCATGATACACAGATTTATAACCTCCAATTCTACGTATCTGAGTCACAAGGAAATAAACATAAATTCTTGTTCTAGATCCACACAGTTCCGCTTGGAGCTTGGTACCGGAAAACCGCCACATTTGACCTACTCGGTTTACTTTTCATTCCGGTAACTTAGTCATTATGGCGACCGGGTTCAAAAATGAGACATGTGACGATCGATCCGCACGTGACTAGTGTAGACCGCTGCGGACAACGGCCCCGGTTGCGTAAAATATTCTCTATTCAGGTTTGCGTGTAGATTCGTCTGCCCCAAAATGAGAACTGAATAGAATGTGCATTGAAAAATCAATATGTTTGGACCGAAGAACAGTCAGATTGACTACAATTTACACCACGGTGCGTTATACTTACAAATTATGATGGTAAGGAATAGGTTAAGATGTAGTTACGCTGACCTTGCAAAACGCCACCTATAAGGGTGATAAACACTTGACTAGTCTACTATCAGTTTCGCCTAATTGTGGGCTCATCAGGTGGGTTGAGGACCAGAATCTCCATCGGACTTTTTTTCAGTTCGCACACGTTCGACTAGTAACTTGATTGTGAGCGAGGTATCAACTGACATACAGTGGATTGTCTTGCTTGTAGTGGCCCTCAGGTAAGCGCTATCTCTAAGACTGAACGCTACTCAAGATTTCGCTCTACAGAACCCTCTTGAAGTACTTTAGAATGACACACAAATATTCTTATCCATATTGATTTATTTTGGTAGCAAAAATCCAAAACAAGTTAGTTCAACCAGTAACTTTCAGACAATTCAGTGAATGGGTTTCAACAACAACAAGCGAATAAATAATTCAGTAGTTGATGGACATCTCACACTGATAATTTTTAGAACGTGAAGCAACCCTTGGGACTGTTCAGTATGGGACGTGTCGTGGTGGGGCTGAATTAGGCATGACAGACGTTTCTGTTCGAAGTTGGAAGGAAACTTGTTTTTTTTTCAAGCAACAGCCTCCTTAGAGAGGAATATCCGCAGTTTTCCCAATTTTGGTTTAAGACCAATGCATCACACCGGTCTGAATGACCGACATTCACAAATGACCCCCAACTGTGTGGATACTTAACGTCACACAAGTAGTCCAAAGGCCGACAGCATCGTTTGAGGAACTCGCTAGGGATTACTCTACGGCTTGAATGAGTAAAAATCTATTTTCCAGGAACAATGGGTCGCGTCGACAGAACACGATGTAGTGGTCTAGAAGAACCGATTTTTTGCAGTTGGTTTTCTTGATTAATTGAATGGGCACAAGTACAACCCCGCCACGTTGATATCGGTCCAAAGTTCAGTTTTCAGATGGCCGAGTATATTTGGTAAATCCGTTTGAATTTCATTAAAAATAGAGGATTGGGCCAACTGTGCGTGTAACTCATTTGTCCCTACATCAGTTTATTCCTTAACATTTGGAAACACTTTATCATTTTTCTAAATTTTGACTGGCATTCGTTCTAATGGAGGCTATAAATTTGCAAGAATGCCCAGACCAATTCCAGGACGGTTTCTCACCATATTACATGAAGTAGGTACTCCACTTCCTCTGATGAAAATGTAAAGTTCATATATACACTCACCCCAGAAGCTATAAAATTTGACTCGGTTACCGGTGGCAATACTGTTGCCCCTCGGGCTTTTAGATGAGCATTCAACTGCTTTCTGTTATTCTAATACCTGAAATTGTTAGCTGAGGTTTTATCGCGTATGCCAAAAAGCTGGTAAACACTGCACAAGTGTTCCATCCTTATTTGGATTTATCAGTGATACACAGTGGTACGATAATCCAAGAAGTTTCAAACCCGCCACCATCCAGCTAATAATAGATTAAACATACAAAACTTCCGGCTCAACAGAAATGTGATTAGATCTCACTGACACAGGATATGTCGTCATTCACTATCCGCTTCCGATCATAACGGATTAGCACTGTTGCACAAAACCAAACCATGGAAACGGATGTTTCACAGCAGGAAAGACGCGTAATTATCATTCAGACGAACGCTTGAAGGAACTGGTTGCTGGTTAGTATACAGTTCGGCCTTTGTTAACTCAGTAGCTATCCCTTCTATTAGAAGTAAGAATTGTAGCAGTCACCCCTGAGACTTTATATGTAAGTGCCCTTCTTTATTAAAAAAATGTTCCAAACTTTCAGATCGCACTTGTCTGCGTAGTTCTGTAAAAAAATCTTGTTCAACAAGACTTCACAGGGCAATGGTTTTTATATCTGTGCAGTTTCTAAGGGACCGATATCTAACCACCTTCGAGACCTTGTTTTATTTTGCGTATGACAGGGAATTTGAGGTTAATTGAGGTCAACTCTTGTTGTTCATTGAGTCTCGGTGAGGTTGAGGGTAGGTGAAATTTAACCACATATGCCGATCGATTTTACGAAAACTAGTTTGCCCGATGGTTTCAGTATTCTCAGTACTGTCACATCGGTAATCTCATGAAGGAAATCAATCTTCCACGCTCAGCTTTGCAATCCATCGTCACATCAAATAGAGGTTCCACTTGAGATGTACGCTTGAGTAATTCTCAACTAGTTTGTACAGCTGGAAACGCATGGATTTACGCATTGACAGAACTGTGGGATAAGAATGCAGAAAGAGGAAAGAATGAATTGTATTCATTTCATGAAAAGGTCGTTTTTTCCTGATGAATCGTTCGATGGCTCACTCACTCAGTTTCTTTGGGCCAGCCCGCACACAGTTGAACTGTTCAATATGATGGCGATCAATATGACTGCGTTTAGCATCGCTCGTATCGAGTGAATAATTGGAACCAGGAAAGTAATACCTGATTTTATCCTCCGAAACTGCCCAGTATAAAGAGACTTTACGTGAACCCCTATTCGCATCAACACCAATGCAGGTAGCAGTCTTCTGGAAACTTACACCGGAAGTGTGATTTAACACAGGGCACTGTGCTTAGGAAATCACGCCGACCGTTGGAGGCCACACATCCAATGTCCGTTTTTAACCAACTGAACAAACAGCCGACAATCAATAACGCTCACTAGTAAACGGTCGAGGTGATGATTCATTCCTGTCTAATCACGTGGTCTGGTAGAGCGGATTGCGCGTCCATTGTGCAACTCGGTCAATTGAACGTTATCGCCCATTCACATGGACTAACGGACAACATAGTTGTCACAGCACAGTGCTCAATGTCCGTAATCAAGCACAAATTTCAAGTTATGGTGGCAAAAAACCAACCAGAGAAATGAGCATCATGCTATTCTTACATAATCGAATCGATGTTGGTGGACTGTCAAGCATACTGGAAATATTCCAGACGTCAATCTGTTCAACGGATTAGTACAACCATAACTATTAGAAGAACCTGCTCCGAACGTAACGGTACTACATAACTGCCAGTGGAATAACCGTTTTCGTTGAGACAGATTTCATTGGTTGTTCTTCACTCGTCCTTGACAGGTGAGTTGTAGTCTTAGTATCACTTTTCGACCACTAGTACGCGGCGGTGATCAATTGAGCAGCTGTCTCGCACGTCTGTTGACTTTTTCTGGTTTGGTCAAGCACACCAGGCTATCAGGCGGCTATCCAGACTGGGGTTCACGGTAAAAGAAGGTATTAAGTGTAATGTACTACTCATAAGGTTGCTGAAAATCCATCGACAGCCCACGACCGGTTTCGCCCTTTTTGAGGCTCATCAGGTAGGCGCAGTCCCCGGGTTTCCGTCAACCTTATGTTCTACTTGAAACAAAATTGCACGAAATTAGCGAATATACACTCATCTGCAAAGTAATTTGGTTCTTTCGAGAGACTCACCTGGAGCCCAGCTGAATCTCTCGTTTATGTTCTCAGGTAACTGAATTTGCTGCACCAGGCCGCCGTAGGCGCAGTTCCCGGGTTTCCGTCAACCTTATGTTCTACTTCAAACGGAATTGCACCAAATTAGCGAATATACACTCATCTGCAAAGTAATTTGGTTCTTTCGAGAGACTCACCTGGAGCCCAGCTGAATCTCTCGTTTATGATGTTCTCAGGTAACTGAATTTGCTGCACCAGGCCGCCTCATGCTTCAGTTGGAAGATACTCCAGATATCGCGATACCTATATGGGCGAAATACACTAAGAACAGGTGACTATACCGTAACAGCTGAAGATAATGCACGGAAAACAAAGGCTTCACTAGCGCTCGTAAACTTGAAAGAATCAGCTGGCTAAATCGAGT